CCCATTTCCTTTTCTTGTAATTCTGCCAAACTCTAGCTGTTTGAGAGGGAAGTTTGTGATAGGTGGCTGCCCTGTGCTGTTCAGCCAAAGTGCTTCAAGCATTCTGGAGAGGAGCTTGAGGCAGCGTGTTTTGGCTCTTTGCATTAGAGATACAGATAGCTTGTCACTTCGATGGCTAAGTTGGAGCGGTGCTGTGGTTTGAGACGGGAACTTGCATTTTTCTGAGGTTTAGCTTTGGTCAAATACAGCGAGAATTGGAAACGGCCACATAAACATCCCTCTGGGAGCTGGTCATGCCCCGAGCAAGTGCGGTGCCCGTGTGCTCGGCAGAGTCCGTTTCAGCTCGGCCGCGGGCGGCACGCTGCAGGGGGACGGAAATCGTCCGGCCGTTGGCAGCTCTGGGCTGGTCGCAGGCTGAGCGAGGTCCGAGGCAGACAGCGGGATCGAGAGGACGAGCGTTGTCTGTCTGGGGCTCTCGGTGCTTCCGCTGGCGGCTGGGCTCGGGCGTCGTGGTGGGGCACACCGGGGAGTTCGGGTGCGGCTGGGGCACGGGTCAGGCCGGGCGCTCGGAAGGGGGATGTACCGGAACAAAGTTGTGTGGAGAGTGAGGACTAGAACTGGGATGGGTGGAAGAAGGCAGAGGGACGTGAGTGACTGGGAAACTGGGAACTAGTAGCTGGGAAGGAGAAGATAAAACAACTGGGGCAAGATTCCTGAGGTGTGGCACCAGCATCTTCGGGAGAAGCCCGGGTGGGTGAGAGTGAATGGGCCAGGAGGTTACAAGCAGCGCAGGTCCCTGGGGAGGAGGAGGGCATCAGGCTGGGGCTGAGTTTCCCTTGGCTTCTGGGGGCTCGGCTTCACCCCCTCGCCCATCTTCCATGGCGCTTAGGATAGGTGAGCGTGCGGATGGTGCTCACTGAGCGACAGGCACTCTGCGAGAGTCTGGGGGCTCTACCGAGCCAGCCCGGCAAGCCCGGGAAGAGGCCTAACGCTCACATTTACCAGGGCAGGGTTTAGTCATCTTTTCTTTTTTTTTTTTAATTTTTTAAGAGATGCCATAAGCCTGGTGTAAGCAGTAACCGTGTCCTCTGCATATCCTAATGTCTGTTTTTCTCTGCCTGTCGCACCCTCCCCTCTGTGCCTCCTCGTAGGTTGAGGAACTGAGCCCGGGATTTTCCAAAGCGGGAAGAGTGTACATTGCCAAGGTAACCAGTCGCTTGTTGCTTGCTTCAGATCAGTCATATGCTCCTAGGGTAAGAAATATTGGTATTAAAAAATCGTCTTTGGCTGTAAAGTGCTGAGCATGTGTAAATTACTCCACGCAGAAGCAAGGTTTTGCAAGATGATAAAGTTTCTGAAAAAGACCAAATCGCCTAGTGCAGAGGCATTAAAATTCAGGGAGGACTTTGCCTTTGAGTCACCCGCTGGAGCATCCTTAACAGATGAAATGCTGAATAAAGTGGCACAGGCTGGAGGTTTAATCCCACCACCACCGCCACGGATTTCTGCGGTGTATGCAGAAAGAGAACCGTGGGGAGAAGTAAAGGATAACGTATGTCTGTGTTTCACCAATACAGATGGGAGCCTTGAGCAGTGATTAAATACACCGCAAGTGCCTGGAGCTGGAGCTCCAAAGATCTGCTTGTTTGCATTGAGGGAATTACTGGTTTTGAACTCTTAAATGTTAAAATTGCTGCTTAATTCCTGCAGCCTCCAGTTGGAGTCTAGAAATATTTAAAGCCCAAATAGCTTTAGAAATATTAGCCAGAGTGGGCGTAGCAAAGAGTAGCTGTAGTCATTCTCTGTGAAATTCCTGAACTCCCAAGGTCCCAAAGAATGTGAATTTTATCAGGGTAGCGTGCGAGTCGTAGGATCTGCTTGGCCTGGAGTGCGTTATTACTGGAACCTGGGCGCAGAGTTCATTTCACAGTGAGTGTCCCGTTAAAGGAAAATGAAGGTGATGGCAGAGGAGGCAAACCCAGCAAGAGGTGTAGCAGCCTTCGCCCCAGCTGGGTTCTGTCTCTGATGTGTCGCAGCTCGCTGTGTGTGTTCAGTCACGAGGCCATTGGGTAAAATCAGCTGCGTGAATCAGCTAGCCTTTGGTTTCTGGCTGCTTATGTACCGTGATGAATGAGCTCTTAATTGCGTCTCTCTGCTTGCAAATATAGCCAGCATTCGTGGAGATTCAGAATCACCCCTAAGTGTCTCGTGTGAAGTAAAGAGTGGAAGACTTGGAACTCATTTGCAGTGAAGCTGCAGCAGCAAATCATGCAAGTCTTAACCTGAACAGATTTTCAGAGTTGTGAAAAGTTGGGTTTCATTGTGTGTAGTGTACACGGGTTGATAGGTTTTTATTGGGCTAATAGGTCACCACGTGTCTGGCCGATGGGATTGAGCTTCAGAAACGCCCTGCGAGCACAAGTTAGCGTAGAGGTTAATAGGACCACTTGTGTCTGAGTTGGGTGTGAGGTTTTTTTCCTAGTCCCAGGCTCTGTCACTTCGGATCGCGTCCTGAATCACGCCGTGTAAAAAGTGCAGTCGGTATCCAGTTATTTTGAAGGAGATAGTGCTCTGACGGGTCAAACGTCAAAGCAAAGAGAATTGTGTTTTATCTGCTGACGGTTATGGCTGATGTGCAGGGACACGGGGCTGTTAAAGGCTGCGAGCATGTCCATGACACCGTCTGTTTTGAATTCGGCGGATGCAGAAATCTGACAGTGCTCACAGCAGAACAGATCCTTCTTTCAGAGCCATCTCACCACGCAGGGAAATCGCCAAAACACCCGTGCGCACGCAGCGTGCAGCGGCACGGCAGGGTCTGCAGCAAGAGCCCCGCGGGAGTCGAACTGCTGTCCTGATCCTCGCCGAGCGCCGGCTTTTCGTGGCAATGACACCAATGATCAACTGCATTGCTGCTGGCGGTTTTTCCAGCAACTGCTTCCTTTTACCCTGCTTATTTCATTGTCCCCAAGTGCCTCTGTGGCTCTCTAGGCACCGAAAACCTTCCTGTGACACAGAGGGTGACGGTTTCTCTGCTGCCGGAGGACACTTCGCCATGAAGAGTATTTCACACCTATTGTGAGGCCCGAGAGACCTGTAAATATTAGAGGTTACAGTGCTGGCAGCTGAACCTCACTTTTAACAGCCTAGGGAACGTAAACTTCGTAAGATGATGTGCTCTCAGTGTAGAGGTTTTGTGATGAAAGTGGTGTGAGGAACAGTGGCGTGGTGGAAATAAAAATAGAGCTTCAAAAATGGTGAAAATCACAGGGTCACCTTAAAGTCTCCGACCAAAAAATCAATCTCTTCGCCCAAAACTAAAAAAAAAAACAAAGAAAAAACAACAAAGAAAAAAGGAAATCTGGTATTCCGTAGTCTGATGGTGATTGTGATGTGTTGTGAATGAAGGATGCTGCAGGAAATGTCAGAAGCCTGAAACGATATGGTGCAAGTGGTTAGGGGGCAGAAATAGCTCTTTTTACCAGTTGCCAAGGTTTATAATTGCTGAGTTACATTTGCTGCCTATTTTTTTGCCGTTTAACTCTTCTGACGTTGTCATTTTTTCTCCACAGTGCTACCGGGACCTGGGGAACAACTCTGCGGCTGTTCTCTGGATGAACCTTGCTTCAGAGCTGCCGGCTAATACGAAAGAGGTAGCGGTCTCAGTAAGCACACGATGATGATGATGATGATGATGAGCAGAGATAAAATGGTTGCAGAGATAAAATTGTTTGCTAAAAGATATTCCAGCTTGTAAGTGCAGGTTTTGAAGTATCTTGTTCCTTAGTGTGGGCTGCTCTTATCTTGGGACCTGTTACCTGCGTGTGGAAAGCAATGCAGCAAAATGATGAAAGATGTGAAGAAGGTGTGCACGTGGCTGATGGGGGCTCAGGGGCCCAGCACACCACCCCGCACGCGCTGTGGTCCTTGCAGGGCTGGGTTACAGCCTCGCTGGATCATAGAATCGCTAAGGTTGGAAAAGAGCTCAGAGATCAAGTCCAATCATCAGCCCATCCCCACCGTGCCTGCTAGACCGTGTCCCAAAGTGCCACATCCACACGTTTTTTGAACCTTTCCAGGAATGGGGACTCCACCACTCCCCTAGGCAGCCTGGTCCAACGCCTGACCACTCTCTCAGTAAGGAAACTTATCCTGATATCCAGTCTAAACCTCCCCTGATGCAACTTGAGGCCATCGTGCTGGAATGCCCAGCCCGCGTCCAGCACTGCAGCTCATGAACTGGGCTGTCTGCAGAACTGCTGGGCAGCGGCAGGACGTGTCCCAGTGCCCGGTTTCTGGGGAAGGTTGATTTGTCTGGGCGCTCTCCTGCCTGGCCAGAATTTAATTTTTTTTTTTAATTATCTAGGCTATTACAGTTCTTTTATTACTTCTGCAGGGTTTTGGAGAGCAGACTGTACTGCGTGTTAGAAACTGCCATCTGGCAGGGTTCCGCAGCTGGGAGCTCTTCTGCCCTTTGCTTTCCCTTTGCGCTGTTCCTGTTAAGCAGAGACTGTACAGAAGGTGCCTTCAAATTACTGCCAGTTCGAAACTGAATAAAAACACATCAGCTTTTAGTATTAATCTGGTGTGATTTGCATAGCCGTGAAAAAGCAAAGTAATGTAAGCAAGGCCCTCCAGACCTTGCAGCTGCAGCCTTAGTCTGGCGGAATAAACACGCTGGGTGGAAGGCAGGATTCTAGAAATACGCAGCGTTTTCATGCCACTCTGTTTCTAAGGCCGTGGTTGGTGTTTAGGTTGCTGTAGCAGAAGTACTCTGCTGAGGCTGAAGCCAGAAGTGTGCGAGAGATCTCGGTTAGACACCAGGCAAGGAGCCGGCTTGCCCGTGCTGCCGCCCGCGAGGCGCTGCCCGGCGCGCTTGGCCGCTGGCCGTGGCTGGCAGGCAGGACACGGAGCAGGGTTTATTCCCGTCTGGCAGAAGGAAATATCCTGGCTCTGCCTGGTGAGGAGCTTCCTCCCGTACGCTGGCTGCAAATCTCCCTAGGCAGGGTTAGAGTGGTACGTCTGATAGATGGAGGATTTTTTCCAAAAAAGAACTGAATGTCTTGGAGGCGTAAGAGTTTAATCAGAAAAGCATTGGGATGGTCGGGAAAGACGGGGGGAGAGCTACAGGCAGAGAAGTGGTGAACAGTTAATTCCCTCTCCCCTGCTCTGACGTTAGGAGTCAAGTAAGGAAGGCGATGCTGAAGTGGCGTTGTCAAGCCCGTGTGGCTGTCAGTCAGATCACTCCCAGCAGGCTGAGGACAGCCGGAGGCGTTTCTGCAGGCTGTGGGCGTCTCTGAGGGAGCAGGGGTTTGAATTCTGCTGTTTCGGTTGTCCCTTCGCGTCTCTCAAAAGGAAATACGAGAGAAACTCTCTTTGGTACTTGGGAAACTTCAACAGGCTTTGAAAACAGTGGTGTGGAGCGGGAAGTACAGGGGAGGAAAAAAGAGCATTAGGCAGAAGAAATGTAAGGCTATGGGCATGCTCAAAACCTGGCGTGGGGTTGGAGGAGCAAGGGGAGAATCTCTGTTTTGAGTGTTTCGGTTAGGCTGTATGTCTGTCTGTTCTCTTACTGTGTTTCCAGGATGCAGAAAGCGAGAGAGAACTCGAAGAGATGCGATCAGTCTGGCAAGAATAAATACCTAACGGCTCGTTCCACTCGATACTGCGCAGACGCTAAAATTCCAGTTCAAGGGGTTTCACGGTCCTGACAACTTTGCTTGCACTTTGTGGATGAGCCACAAGAGTTTACGGGGAAAAACCGGCGGCGGTCTCAGCAGCATACCCAGGAGGAGGTCTTGGTGGGGTTGGATCGGATCAAACTTTGTATTTTTTTTTCTTATGGCACTGCGTGTGTTTGGTTTTAAAATTCCTAAAAAATGTCAAATTCCTAAAGGCAGGTGTGGGTATAGGTAGAATTTGTGATACAAAAATATTTGTGATTATATCATAGATATGTGTGAGATGTATACTTTGTGATATAAAAATATATACACAGATATATATGTATTTATATATACAGATGTGTATTTTATATGACAAACTCTACCTGTGGAACAGCCCGAGCTCCAGGCCTGCGTGCTGGTCGGGTCTCCTGGCCGATTCCTGAGCAAGTCTTCAGCCCAGACTTTTTTCAGATTAACTGTGTTCTCTTTTCCCTAATAATATGTATTAACCAAATCAGCTGGAATAACGGATTTGCAGGCCTTGCATAGGTGTCTAGGTGAGGTGACATTTCGAGCCGCTGTGCTTGGTGGTCGGGGTGCTGCTGGTTTTTACTGGTGTGCTGCACTGGAGGCAGCGGCGTGTTCTCCCTGCCCTCAGCCCGTGGGTTCAAACGGGCTCTGCAGCCCTGACTGCAGAGAAGACAAAGACAACCACAGCAACTTACAGCAAGGGAGTTGTCAGCCCTTTCTTCCTTGCTGTGGAAAAAATGATGGTGACGCCCGGCACACGTTCTTGTTGGTCCTTCCCAGCTACACCCAGACTACCTTACTGGTTTTCCACTGGGGAAACCAGTGCTGCTCACTACCACGCGCCGTTACCAGGGGACCAGCGAGATTTCCTTCACAACACGAACTTCATTTTAAGGAGATGCATTGCTTCTGTCGGAGAAATGAGTAAGATTTTAGACTTTCGGCCTTCCTCCCAGTGGTGTTCCTCCCTTGGCCCACAGGAGACCGGGAACCTCCTCTGTCCCTCGGAGCTGCGCTGCTGCGGCTCAGGCGGGACAGCTCGGTGTGACGTTTATTTACCAGTGAAACGCTGGGTGCAGGGACAGGAACATTCTGTGGCAAAGCTGGTGCTTCCCGGCGGCGTTCCTCTGCCCGCTCTGCTCGGCTGATGGGGTGACAGCAAGGAGGTGCAGCTCACTGTCGGGGTGCCGAGCAGAAACAGCCGGCTGCTGCGCGCCCACGCAGAGGGTGAAGCAGAAACTGCCTGGGAAAGCTTCCCCAGATACTCAGCACGGCTTTCTTGGTGTCCCTTCGGATTTCAGCTGGCAGCTACCTTGGGTTTTTAACGCTGGTTACGTCTTGCTGTGCTGTACAGTGTTTGTGAAGTGTCGAGTGGAAAAGTGCGGGAGTGGAAAACATTCCTTAGTCACCTTCTGCGTCCCCTGCACGTGTGTACTGAACTGGTGGGGCTCTTACTGCGTGAAAAGAACGCTCCGGGGGAGGTGTGGAGCAGACTCAGGCTGAAAAGCTTCCCGTGTTGTAGATCTGGCGCTCTCTAGCTTTGTTCGTTTGTCCAGATTAAACTCTAAAATTTTGGTGCTGAACTCACCTTGTGAGATCCAGGCAAGCGTGCAATTAGCTTTGTTTGCTTGAAACAATAAAAATTGGTACTCGTAAATGGAGAGCTGAGTGCTGAGAGGCTGGGGTTGATCCCTGGGTTTCTGCAGAGCTCCCCTTGCCGTGAGCGGGCTCCTGACCCGGGATTGCGGGACTTTTTATTTAATGTGTGCTCTGCTTTGAGTTCTTTGCTGGCACGATGAAGCTGCCTGTTTGACTTTGTGTGACTCTGTCTGGTTTTGAATATTTCACAGTGGATGACCCTTTTTTTTTTTTTCTCCCTACTAAACATCCAATCTTTAAATATTTGCACAGTTTTTCAGCTATTTTCTTTTTGATTGCTTAAGCCGCGCTGGGAAATCCGCAACAGTGATATCCGAAAGATGAGGATCAGCAACGTGATTCTTTTGGGGAAGATTTGCAGGGGTTTTTTTCCTGGAGAGAAATGATAATAGCTCTCAAACCAGCCGTGTAGTTAGCTGTGCTTGCTTTGCCTTTCCCTGCCAGCGAGTCCCAGGGCGAGATAAATCAGTGATGTTTGCTGTTCTGTCTGCTGCTCAGACATCGCTGCCTTCCAAGAGTGAGTGGTTGCAGCGTATGGAGCAGGAAGGGAGATGTTTGCCCTACCAGGAGTCCGTAGCTTCACTTTCTCACCCACTCCTTCGAGCCTTCACCTGCCGTGTGACTTGTCCAGGTACAGACTGCGAGAGGAGTCCCTGGGTGAGGTGTTTTCTGGAGGTAGCTTTCACTGGGGGTTCCCACAGATGTACGTTCTCCGTTGGTGTGGTTGGAGGTCTCCGTTTCAAAACAGCGAGGGGTTGTAGGCTTGGGGAAAAAGAAAGCTGATTTGCTGTTCCCTCCCTCTGCTGCTTGGGATTCTGCGCTGGGGTAGGTCCGAGTGTTTCATCCCGCTTGGTCGTGGAGTCGCTAGGAGCGGGCTGCACGGGGAAAGCCCTTTGTGAAGTCGGGAACTGCCAAGGGGCCTCTCCAGCCAGGCAGCCCCTTGTCTTCAGGACAGAGTGCCGCGG